TTGGGTGGTGAACAAGTAGAGAAAGATGACTGTTAATGAGAGAAAGTGATAGGCATGGAAGAAAGAAGGTTAATACAATATCTATGTATATTTTAATGTTATGCGTGAGCACACTTACATGCTGGTGTAAAAAGGAAAATATGGAAGATAGAAGAAAGAGTGGAGAGAACAAGTGGCAAACGTTCAGATTCAGAAAGTATAACACAGAAACAAACAACAACAAAAGGGATAGACTTAAGGTTATAAGCGATAGATAGATCCATTGCCACCTGCCACCAAGGACCAGCTTCCAGACTCCCTTTCTTGGCTGCACTCTAGGGGCCAAGTACAAGACTGAGACTGAACAGATGAACAAAGAAAGGGGTGTGCCTTCAGTCTTGAAATCTCTCTGTGCTGGCCCTTTCTTCTGTTTACATTAAATAATAATTTGATTGCATAAACTAAGGTGCCTGGTTTTTAAAGTTTTGATCATGGCAACCTGTAAATTGGAAAAATAATTGATTCCCATGTTCTGTTGGGAAGGAATAAATCAAGCAACAAGATTTGACTTTTGTCTATTTAGATATGAGCCCTTGAGACCAATGCTAGTAAAAGAGATCCCTTAATGGCTACAGAAATATATACAGTAATTAAATACATTCATGTGTTTATATATGCAATTACACATTGAATACTTATTCATTCTACAGATATTAATGGAGGGCTCTGCTTTGAACAGAAGTGGTGATGAACATAAATAAAATCCCTGCCTTCATGGTGGTATATGTTCTAGAGAGAGAGCAAGGCATTAATCAAATATACACATAATATTAAATATAAATATACTATAATAACATTGAACATATACATAATATAATAACAAGTTTAATAAGCACTATACATCTTAAAGGTATAAAATTTAAAAACACATAACAGTTTGAGAAGAAATACAGATAGTTTCAAAAAATCATATGTTCTATGATATAAATATGAAGTGGTAGTTTTAAGTGAAAAGAGAACTATATGCACCTATAATTTGAAACCATTAAGAATAATGCCTGGTGACACATAGTGAACACAATAAATATCACTTATTATTAATAGACAGACCTATACCACAGGCTACCATGCAGTGAACAAAGGAAAAAGTAAAGTGACCCTTAAACTTAATCAGGAAGAATGAAGAGACTCTAAACAGATGAAGAAGAGGTAAGGGCCTCCTAAGTGAGGAAGTAGCATGACAAGACAATAAAATATGACAGTGAGTGATCGGTTTAGAAACCTGCAGTTGTTGTTTGGACTGAAGTACATAGCTTGTGGCCATAAGAAAAAAAGTGCTGCTCAGCCACTGTTGCTCAGTGTTTGAACATCGATCCATGAACCAAGAGGTCACTGGTTCAATTCCCTGTGGGGGCACATGCCTTGGTTGCAGGATTGATCCCCAGTAGGGGGTGTGCAGGAGGCAGATAATCGATGATGTTTCTCTCCCATTGATGTTTCTATCTCTATCACTCTCCCTTCTTCTCTCTCTCTCTAAAAATTGATAAAAACATATTTAAAAAAAGAAGAGAAGTGCACTGGGAGAACTGGAACACGATTCAAAATATCTTCTTGTTCAGGTCAACATAATCAGGATAATGTTGAGGGTGGACGTGAACACCAGTGTCTCCTGATCCCCTCCATCTTCCCTATTAGACTATGCATTCTAGAAGTTACTATTCTGTTCCAGATATTGTACTAAGGATTAGAGTGAATAAATTAGATTTGAAACCTACTCTCAATGAGTTAATAACAATGGCAACGAACCTTTTTTGAGTAATTTCTATTATACATGTACTGTTTTAAGTGATCCCCTTGTATTAATCCAGTTAATCCTTAAAACAACTCTAGAACCTAAGTAGAATTTTCATCTCCCTCTTACACATGAAGAAACTGGGGCACAATGAGGTAAATATTGTTCACCATTGTATTTCTACTATCAGGAACAGAGTTTTTTAATTAATATTTTGAATGACTAAATTCACAATGGCCTGATGAATCATGCTAAAATCCAACTTTGCTAGGGCCAGGATAGCACGTTCAGAATCAGGTCACTGTCTCACTCATCACTTTGTAAGACATTTATAGGACGATATTTCTTAAACTTCCTGAGGCATGATAATCCCCAAAATTATAATTACTAAAAATTATAATTGTCTAGATCTGGAGATAATTTCATTACTTTGCATTTTTAATAGGTACCCCAAGCATTTCATTTTAAGGTGATACCTGTACAAATTTTACAAAAATGAATATTACTGCTCACTGTGATTTGATAATAATTACAGCTAGATATAAAACTACTGGGTAATGGTTATGGCTCAGTCTCTCAAAGGAAGGAGAAGGGCAATGGTGACTTCAGTGACAATGTAAGGAAATCTTCAGCTGCAATGAAATCTAGCCTTGGTACTGTTGAAAGTTTGAAGGTACTGTTGAAAGTTTGAACCTTATAATACTTTGTTGTGTGACCGCTTGCTTTTGCATCTGTGACTGTGCAGCAGGTGCCAGTAGATTAGCCCACCTCCCAAGAAGTGACAACTGAACATATCTTTGACATTGAACATATCTTTGACATTGAGAAATGTTGTCAAATTACCTGTCGTTGGAATCCACTTCCACAATGGAAGAGAGAGAATTTTCTCCAGTTCCGTATTTATAAGCAACCATTGGCTTCTAATCTAGAATCATGTAAGACACCTGATGTCTCCCGGTGAGTGTTCCCTCTGTGAGAGACTATGGTTTGTTTTTTGAGTAAATGTACCTTCTTAGCTTTCTTCAGGACTCATAATATATGTCATCCTTCTCCCTCCACCCCCACACAGCTGACTTATTACATTGAATGAGACAGACTGTCAGGGTCAAGACACCTGACTAAGACCCCAAATCATCATTCCTTCTTCAGGTTCTTGAGGGCTCAGGTTCCTTTCACACCGTTTACAGGGAATTGTAACTAACTGTGACAGCGGAATGAGATCAGCTTCCCAGGAGACATATATTGTAAAAAAGAAAAGAAAAATCAAAGATGAGACATAGAAATAAAGAGTCAGGGAAAAGTGCTTGAAAGAAAGGAATGAAATAAACCTGAAAAAGTTCAGCACAAAATTGGCCAAAAACTAGATTTTGAAAAATACAGGAAATTTCCCACCCTGAAAATTACTCTAGTTCTTTATCATTTATAAGAATAAGCAGGCAACATGTAACTACCCAAGGGGGTATATCCTTCACTTTTCCTCTCCATTAACGTCTCTTAACTGTTCTCAGTATCTTTCAGTTACATATAAAAACAATCAGGGTAAAATCTTAGTACCTATTTTTGATGGAGGAACCATTATTACTATTGTGTAACACTATGCAATATCATATTCCCATTAATATATGCAAAAATCTTATCGAAACACAAAGAATAACGAAATAAGTATTTGTTATTCACTACATACTTCTAGCGAATTAATTCCTAGTTCACTGGGCTAATCAGATCAGTGAATTAGTGTGTGCATCCAATACAACAGTTGCACTAGCTATCCAAAGCACATTCTTAATGGAAGCAGGAAAAATAGAAAGAAGACAATACAAATTTATATTGGCATCGCCTTTAACTAATTCATTCACCTCAAAATCAATAATGGAACTTTATTGTTATATAGATTATTTAGTATTAGCTGCCTTGACTAACGTGCTTTGTGGAAGAGAATAATGCTGCCTAATTAACGTTTAGTAGAAGAATCACAAGGGGGTCAATACCTATTTTCAGAGGAGAATGAAAAGATGGAGAATCAATCACAGAGAGGGAGGAAAAGCCCAGCATTGCACCATCTGTTATCCTGGGCAAGAAAATAATCTGTAACGTTGCTACCGCCAAACCCAGTGAAGTGATTTCAGAAGGTCGGGTAGACGCTGTTACTTCTGCCTTGAACTGTTTGCGGGGAGACAAATGCTCGTGGGGAACTATGTGGTAAACTGTAGTTCACCCCTGAATCTGGCCAATTCCACGTGGCTGCGTGGTGATTAACGAGACCATCAAAGACGCAACCCCGAGCGTCCGGGGTGGGAAGCGGGGATTTAGGAAGGCATAAAAGCAGAAACGGCTGGGCAGCGAGCCTGCTTCCACCACCATCACTGTCTTCGCCTGTACAGTTGTTCAAGCTGCCAGAGGCTTTCTGGTTGCCCTGGCAACTGTTGAGCTCGGCTGCAAACTCAAAGCAGAGCCTCTGAAGTTGGGTACCAAACACTGGAGCTCAACAAATGCAAAGGCAACTGGGGAGGGCGAGGAGAACAACATTACCCGTGTACCAGGTCTATAACTCCTACGGCTCAGAAGACCTTTTCCAAACCGGATTTTTGTTTACGTTTTTTATAAAATGAGATAGTTCGTGCCTGGCATTATTCATTAGTACCATCTCCTGGTGCCCGCCCGGGAGAGGAGAATGCAAATCATCTCAGTCATAAAGACGGAGAGAAAGGAGTTAGGAAACGCGATTGCCAGGAATGCTCGGAGCACGCCCATTCATTCATTCATTCGGAATTTTAGGGACTCGTTGGTGCCGGGCATTGTGCCAGGTGCTGGAGCTGCTTCGAGAAATGAGACACCCTCCTACACTCCAAATGAAGGATAATTAACAAAAATTAGCAGAACCTGCGCGAGCCCGGGGAAAACCAATTAGGGGGCTGCAATCTTCCCACGGGTCTCGGAAGGCAGATTCCGAATCCAGACGCGGGAGCGGAAGGAGGCGGCGGCGCCCGAGGAGTCAGGCCCGGAGCGAGAGGGGCACCTCCTTCCCTCGGGAGGAAAGCTGTCCAGGCCACTCCAACGCCCCCCGGGGCTGCGAGGGAGAGAGAAGAGGTTTGTTTTTCTTTGAGAAAGACGGAGCCCTTTTCCCCACTGGGCTCGATTTCTAGTAGGGGGAGGCCCGCCTCTCGGGGTCGTTGATTGGCCCAAGCGGTTTGCAGATAATTTATGCCAGCATCCTCTCGGTCCGATTGGCTCCCGGCTCCATTCCGCTGGGAGTCGCATCCTACCTGGTCGGGAGGTGTATCGCCTTCCCACACTTTCCCTTCTGCTGCTCCTTCCCCGGGCGGCAGCTTAGGTGGGAGGAAAAGTCCTGGCGTGAAGAATTCAGCGGAAAAGAAAAAGCGATTCTGATGGGTTCTTGGAAAGCTTGTCTCTTCTCCCCTTTTCTTCTGTGGAGTCAAAGTAGAGGCGTGAGGCTGATGTTCTTGTTGCTGACCCTGCATTTGGGGAGCTGGTGAGTAAATGCAAGGACTGAGAACTATTCTTCCGTGCCTACCGGCTTCCCGCTGGCTTTTTCTTTTCTTCCCAAAAAACCATTCTAAGTCATATGCATTTCCCCAGGTACCTGTGCAATATTTCACCATCCTTTTCTTTTCTGAGGAGGTCTCCCCATTTTCAGATAGAAGGAAATGAACCTCTGTGTGGAGCATGGAGGTTACTCCAGCTGTTTTGGTTTGGAAATGTGGTCAAAACTAGTCAAGACTCAGTTACTGGGAGTGAGGAGGGGGGGTAGAAATGGGTTTCCTACTAAATTTAGTGAATAAATGACACTGATGAACTTTCTAATGATTCCGCATTTTATAGGAATGGTTACTTTAGAAACTAACAAGTTTCATAGTGTGGTATGTATGATGCTTTTCTATATACAAATGTTTTTGTTTTCCTTACCCCTCCCCCTTTTTTGCTATGCTGGGGGGTGGGAGGGTTTTACATCAAAGTAAATTATAAATATGGCTAAAATCTACCAGGTCCATGTGTTATATTTATGTTAGAAATAAATATTTTATTAAGCCAGATTCCAAAGATTTTTATTTTAATTGGCTGTCTACATGAAAATAAAAATTGTATGGTGATATAAATGATGTTCTGGCTGTGTGTGTGTGTGTGTGTGTGTGTGTGTGTTGTGTGTGTGTGTGTTGTAAGAAAGACAGAGAGAGACTGAGAATATCAACCCCAAGCCTCCAATTTAATAGGTCTGCTTGGGTTGTTAGATCATTCAAAAAAAATATCAAACTGCTCAGGTATTGTATCTAGCTATAGGCGTAGTTGATGAACAAAGTTAAAATATATAGATTAGGGCACAGATGCTATAAAGATCTTAGACATACTGAGTAGTCCAAGTATGAGTATATTGTGTGACTTTGTTTTATATGAATCTACATTTAAAATTATATTATTGTATGATGTGATCCTCAAGAGTAAAACACAATTGCTATGCAGATGAAAACATGCCTTTATAACTACTTGCATCATTGCTAAAATGAATTATTATGATGATTAATTTTAGTATATACCAACGGTGAATAGTTTTGTCAATACCTGCAGATAGGACAACTATATTTTCTCTCTGAAAATAGAGAATGGATTGAATTATGCTAAGTAATACTAGACATGCCAGAAAATGTTTGACACTCAATGCTTCTTTTTTTTAAGTTTTTAAATACTTTTTCTTTAGAAACTTAAATATGTTGCATGGACACAAACATACTTGATTAACTACTCCTTATATGTAAGTTTTGTCATAAGGGCTTATTTCTTTGAATTGGAAAAATTACAGAAAAGATTTTTATAAAATACGTATCAGGGCTCTCATGCATCTTCACAATATTACAAACGAATCTGTGTTCTCATAAATAAAAGCAGATTTAGCCAGTGGTTTTTTGAAATAACAACCTGTGTGCTCCTTTATCATTAGAAGTGCAAGTTTTCCTTACAACCTAACAGGCAACTGCTTGCTTAAGGGTATAAAGAGTTGTGTTGTTTTAAACAGTAATTTGGTGTTTGATAATACTTACGTGATGATCATCATAATTGGCCCCAGAATTCTCTTTGAGCTGCTCATAATTTAAAAAGTTGGGAGTTGTTAAAAAGCTGTGTGTTGCAGTGGACAGAGGTGGGTTCTGGCCGTCTGGAGACATGATTGTACGTGTCAAGAGTCCTTAACCCCTGGAGAGTGTCTTCATCTAGGAAATGAAGGGCAGTAGTAGATCGTCTATGATTGCTTAACTTTTCACATGCAATATGTCCAAGATTTGAACTGAAACATAAAAATAACTCAATAGTTGTTTCACTGGCTTTTTCTTAGGACTTTTAAAGGAGGAAGTTCTAATAGGAAAGTCCTTATACTGTTCATACCATATGTATTATTGAGTCAGAAAGAGGTGTTATGTGTTCAAATATATAAATGATTCATTTCATCCTAGTACTATAGATAATCTGGATTATTCTAGCCAGTGGACAAATATTCTAAAAACTATATTTTGTTGTTATAATGAACTCGTAGGGCCTCAATTATGAGAGTTCATGTCTTCATTTTTCAAAGTAGTTACAGTGTGGTGAAGTTTTCATCTTCTTAATATTAAGTTCGAGATAATTGATGTCAACATGTATAAACCATTTACACTTATGGATTTTCTCCCTTTCTTTGTCTTTTGAGGAGCCTTTTCAAAACTAATCATATATGGTTCTGTGTGTAAGAATTTTGGTGTCTTATGCTGGTTTCTAAAATAAATCATCAAAGTCATCTATTTTGAGACTTACCAAATTAGGACCTATTATTTCTTATCTCAGCAGAGACAAGAGCTTATTTCCTTGTTAGTTTCTGTTAAGAGCACAAAGGAGGGACAGTATATTGATTTTTATATTCCTGAACTATGAAAACCTGTCTCATTGCTGTAACTGAAGCTATAGTTATGGTTCCTGCGCTTCATTCTCTGCGAGGCTATATGGCATCTTGACAAGTTGCTTAAAATCTCTTAAGCTTGATTTAACTTTTTTTTAATGTTGGGAAAAATCTATTTATAATCAGATTTCTAAAAGAGTTGAAAAGTGTTTGATATATCAGCTGTTTTAAAAAGTAATTTATTGTAAGCTTGACCAAGAAGCTATATTTGAGAGAGCACAAGAAAAATAACAGGTTTTCATTTTTTAAAACAATTTTATGAATCAACTAGAGGCCCGGTGCACAAAATTTGTGCACTCTGGGGTGGGGAGGTTCAGTCTGATCTACGCCTTTTGCAGTCTGGGAGCCCTCACGGGATGTCTGACTGCTGGGGGATGTCTAAGCTGGCAGTCGGACATCCTTAGCGTTGCCATGGAGGAGTGCACTGACCACCAGGTGGCAGCTCCTGCGTTGAGCCTCTGCCCCCTGGTGGTCAGTGCATGTCATAGTGACCAGTCATTCTGCCATTTGGTCTATTTGCATATTACCCTTTTATTACATAGGGTTATATACAATTTAGTATTCAGTTGCCCAAATAAAAATATTCAAATACACTCGCTTTATAACATATAATTTGAAAGTAATTTTAGTCATATATATTGACTAAATATATGGAGGTAGTTGTCAACGATTTTTTTCTTAGTCATCTAGATTATTTGCTTAATTTCTGACACTTATGATAACCATTCAAACTTGAGGGCAAAAAAACTAAGTATGATGTTTCATGATAATTAACTTTTCAAAAGACCGAGAAAAAGATTTTTGAAGCTAAAATTCAAATGCTATAATTGATAAATCACCTGTGTATAGAGTCTTTTGGGTATGCCATTATTTTGTTTTATTTTATACTATGAGACACACTTGACTAATGAAAGAAAATGTTTGACCTTTCATTCAAACACTGAGAAGACTAATTTAATATTGTATACTTATATAAAGGTGGTTGAAACTTGTCTAAGAAAATAATATGTGAAGGTGGAATCCCAAAAAAGAGAAAAAATAGCAGGGTGGAAAACTGAAAAACTGACTCAAGATATTATCAAAATATGACAAATCACTACAGTGGGGAAAAAAGAAGAAGTGGACATAAATTGAACGTACTGGCTTCAGGAGAGTAACTCAATATATGCATGGTACCAGTAAAGAACCCGAAGCTTTCCGATCAGATTCTGGTTTTGGCTCTACCATTTCCCACCACGGTGATTTCAGGCAAATCTTTGAGGCAGAGAGTCCTCATTTGTGAAAAATAAAAATGACATCTACCTTCCCAGATTGTTTCAAGATCAAGATAAAACATGTGTGGAAAGAACATAACACTTAAAATGTTAACTGAAAAAGCATAATAGCAGATATCCTGTGGAATCCACTGATCCTAGTATTATTTATCCTAGTTACGGTGGTTTAAGGGCAATAAAGTGAAGTCCTTGGATTCTTGTGCGTTAATATCTTTTGGATTTGAAATAGATCATTCTTTTACAACAAATATTTGTTGAAAACTCGCAACATGCTAGGTTTACATTGGTGAATGAAGTAGACGTGAGTTTAGTTCATGTCTAAGAGAGAGAAAGAGGGAGAGAGAGAGAGAGGGAGAGGGAGAGGGGAAGAGAGAGAGAGAGAGAGAGAGAGAGAGAGAGAGAGAGAGAGAGCTTATACTCACTGCAAAAACCTAGACTTATGGTATCAAAAGAAAACAGCTTGTAGTCAAAATAAGAAAATATACCTTTTGAACTTCAAAGATAAACAGGAAATGCTGAGTGTTTAGGGGTAGAGGATGCTGATGGAGTAGATCACAATCAAGGAAAAGGAATTAGAGAGCCATGGGATGTCTCTCCGCAATACCAGAAGACTAGGGGGAGATGTCTCTAAAAATCTAAAGACACGTGTCCAGCCTAGAAGGTTATACTTAGCAAAGTTACCAATCAGATATGAAGGAAAAATAAAGCCTAGATACTATCATTCTCTCCATTTTACAGATGGGAACACAGGGGCACAGCATTTTCTAGAAGTTCACTAAAGATCATCTTGCTAATAAGTTCTGAATCCAAGACTCAAATCCACGTATTCTATGCCCAGCGTATTCAGTCTAAACCAGCACAACCCTCAGGTTACATATGCTATGTAAGTCAAACAACAGCAAAAAAGCACATGACTGTGGATGAAGGAAATAAAAAGGAAGGGAGAGAAGGAGGAAAAGAAAGGAAAGGGAGGCTAGTGCAATCGATAGAAGTGCAGTAAGTATAAAAGTCTACTGTGCACCAATCACATGATCTGAAATATTATGTATAGTACTAGATTAATTATTTGGGTAAAACTAACAAACTAGAAACTTGATCTATAAAAATAATCATAAGATAAGGGGTTAAAAGCAAGAAATTTGGAATTTAGCTAAGTTTTGTTGAGGAGTCTGATGGCTACTTATTTTTAATGATGCTATGTAAAATCAGAGTTAAACTTCTTATGTCTATGTGAAATAGACACACCATAACCAAGTAGTGAAAACTGTGTGCAGGGAT